TGGCTTATGTCATAGTTTTATTTTTATTTTTAAAAGTTTCCATGAAATGTTCATCAAAACTTATTGATTAGATTGATTATTACTTATTAGTTATTAGATTAGATTTGGACATAAGGTATTTTGTTGATAACACGTCGAATCCAATGCATTAGATAATATCTAGAACAATAATATTATCAATGATTGTCAATAACATACTCTATTCAACTACAGCTTAAGATATAGAATATATACATTATACATATGTTGTATGTCTATAAGCTTATGAGTTATGACTATACCATAATTTAATTGGCATAATAATAATAATTAATTGACATACATTGTAAATATAAATTTAAAAATGTAAATAATATAATTGTGTGTTTTTTTTATTGGTCTTAAACCCGGCAAATTGTGTTTATTAAGAAATGAGATGTATGTATATACTCAGGAAAAGGACATAAAAACAGTAGTCGAATACATTTTTTGGACCCCCCCCCCTTGAATAAATCCTGGTTGCGCCTCTGATAAATGCCTTTGGTCTTAAATTAAAATTAGTAGATGTTAAATTTTATAACTTAAAGCCATAGTTGTATAACATTTAGATTTAATTTAATACAATTTGACAAAAGTACATTTTAAAAACTAAAATTTATATAAAATAAAAAGTTAAGATAATTTTAATATAATATGTTAATTAATATTGGTTAACCAACAAACATGTAAACAATGTTATTATGTTATATTTAACTTAATTTAATTATTATTTGTCTTTTAAGATTGGACCGGCTCGTTTCCGTGCTCCAGAAGTGTTATTTCATCCAGATTTAATTGGTGAAGAATGTGAAGGATTACATGAAGCATTGGTATATTCAATACAAAAATCTGATTTAGATGTACGAAAAAAATTATATCAAAGTATTGTCTTAGCTGGAGGATCAACTCTTTTATCTGTAAGTCAAAAAAAAAAAAGAAAAAAATGTAAATCAAATATTTTTTTGTTTATGAATTATATTATTTTTCAGGGATTTGGTGATAGGTTATTATCAGAAATTAAGAAACTAGCACCTAAAAATATGAAATTAAAGGTAAATATTCAAAACGCTTAAGAATTTTAAATAATTATTTTGTATAATTATTTAATTTTAATTGCATTTGTTGAGTACATTGATAGTTAATTAATTATTTATTTACACAACAGTGACGCTGTAACAATATTTATGAATAGTATATTATGGTTGTTAGTTGTAGGTTTTATTAAGGCACTGTCATCTAATTTGTGGTCAATGATGCWAGACCATAGAGAGGAAATACAAATAAAATAAACATATTATTATTCTGTTTGTTATATGTGTATTGTTTAATTTGCATAACTTTTATTTGTTTGATTGGATTGTTGAATTTGAGATTAGTTGTGAATGTTTACAAAATATAAAATAGTTGATTTTACAATATTTCAATTAAAATTTAAAAAAAAAAGCGGGTAAGTTGATGTCATTCTGCTGTACATTAGGGAGTGGGGTGGACCTCTGACTAGGGTAGGTTAAATTTGAATGCAATGATAGGTATCATTGTATA